GCAAAATTTAATAATTGTTTAAAAAGGAAAGCCTTATAATAAAATTGTTCTAAAATACTAATGTTCTTAAAAATACACATGCTGATGGGTGTAAATTTCGGAAACTTCCAAATAGACGTTAAAATAAGCAATGAATTTACTTAAAAAAAAGACATGTAATTTTTTTTAAACAAAAAATAAATAAATCAAAATAAATTAATAAAATACTTAAATCTGTGGATTTTATTTTTGAAAATGGTACTGCCATTATCTCGCCTATTATTACTATAACTTTTTTTTGTGTGTGCATGTTCTAATATTTACGTATTTCTTACGTTAGTAGTTTCTTTATAAGACTTAATTATTATTATATGTTTATCAGTATTTTTATGTATGTCAGTACGTTTATTATTATCAGTATTATATGTTTTAGGTGGAGAAGATTAGTTTTTTTTTATTTATACGATAATGCGCTGTGAGAAGATCAATGAAACAATATCAGTAAGTTATAACTAAATTTTGCCCAAATGTTGTGTATTTGATGAATCAAAAGTGGAATTTTTGTACAACTTTGGGAAATGGATCGCAGGATTTGAGAGAATAATCGGCTATTCATAATTTGCTCAAATTGGGTCTCAAAATCTCTCGACTGGCCCAGTTATGCCAGGATGAATCATCCCGTACGCGCATATATTTTTGCATAAGATCTAAGAGTTGCAGTTATATTTAGCAGTTTCGGCCCGCCGGTTGCGTCACCCCCGCGGAGAAAGTGAAGGTCCCGGCGATGCCACCATCCCGCCGCGCCACGCGCGCAAAAAAAACATGCGTTCCCGTTTTTCCCCCTGGGGTCAATTTCCAAGTTCCGGCCTTCCGCGGGAGATAAAGGGGTTAAAAAACACGTTAAAAATACTGTCCGATTTTCCTCGATATCTTATCGCGTATTTGATTGGTGTGGATATTGTCTGATTTATTAGGCTAGTCCTTGAGAGCTATAAATTTTCACCGATGAGGAGTGGCAGACCTTCTGTCAATATTTTCGACGAAACGACTATTCGAGTATGACGCGATTGGTTTTCCTTTTTTGTCCTCCTTGGTCTAAATTGGAAACAAGGCCCTCTTTATCCAAAAATCAAGTGGGTAAAACAAAACGGTCCAGACAAAGTGAATTCGTAAAATCCGAGGAGTGGGCTTCAATTTTTATTACTGTTCTAAAAGGAATATCATAAATAAATCTATGCAAAAGAAATTCAATTCAAGTACAAAGACATTCAAAAAATCAAGGATCATGAACAACATCCTCAAGATGCAGATATTCATATCGGCTAGAATCCTGCGATGGTCCTTTCTTTTTAAGATTAATAAGTTTTATTAATTTTATTAGTACATGAAATAATTAATTCCATTCAGGATTAAATCAACAGTACGTTAAATAAAATAGTCCGAACATTTCTCCTGGATTTTTATCACCTACGAAGCCTTTTTCCTTATCTTCAGTCAAATTTTTTTTAAAACTTTCGTTCGTCAATACAACATCCATATGTAAAGAGCATATTTATAACTTATTTTTCAATTTTTTACTGTGTGACAGACTGTTAGAAATACCTCACTAGTGCTGTGTTCTGTCTGCCCTACCCGTCTACTTCAGATGTTTCACAGACACAGTCTGACAGGACGAAAGCGAACGACGATGAACAATTAATGAAGTAAATTTGGGACAAAATGAAAATCCAGATTTTCTTTTAAAAAATCTATCATTGTTGATTCAAATATCTAAATCTATCTTAAAGCAATTCTTTTTTTTTATTTTTGTTTACAGGGATTTTTTTATTCATCTTATTCTTAAGCAATTTATGTCTTAGTCGTTTCAAAGTTCATCAGAAAGAAAGTCTAAATAATTTATTATGTTCTGGGTTTAGAAAGTATGTTTGAAATTAAGTTTTAAATAACATTGGCTATTTTTTTAGTCAGTAAAGCTGGAAAATTGCACCATGGAATTACAAAATCTATCCTGTTTATTCGTTTTTTTTGTTTTTTTATTTAAAGGTATTTATTATTTTATTACTCTTAAATCATTCCACATCTTTTATGCTTTCCTATTTCACAGTTGATCAGAATGAAAGACGGATTATGATTTGGGTTTAGAAAGTACGATTGTTACAAGTTTTATGTAAGATTAGCTACTTTTTAACTATTATGTAAAATCAAAATTTTTGTTTAAAATCCATCATTGCGGATTCAAATGTCAAAATCAATCCTAAGACTGTTCTTTTTTTATTTTTATTTAGAGGGATTCCTTTTATTTTATTCTTAAGCCAGTTTGATGTAAGATTAGATATTTTTTTAACGTATTTTCCTTAAAACAAAATTTTCCTTAAAAATCCAGAATTTTTTATTTAAATTTCAAAATCTACACTAGAACATCTCTTTTTTTAACAATATTTTATAGGATTTCATTTGTTATATTTATTTTAGGTAAGGTTAGCTACTTTTTAGCTATTATGTAAAATCAAAATTTTTGTTTAAAATCCATCATTGCGGATTCAAATGTCAAAATCAATCCTAAGACAGTTCTTTTTTTATTTTTATTTAGAGGGATTCCTTTTATTTTATTCTTAAGCCATTTTGATGTAAGATTAGATATTTTTTTAACGTATTTTCCTTAAAACAAAATTTTCCTTAAAAATCCATCATTTTTTATTTAAATTTCAAAATCTACACTAGAACATCTCTTTTTTTTAACAATATTTTATAGGATTTCATTTGTTATATTTATTTTAGGTAAGATTAGCTACTTTCTAACTATTATGTAAAATCAAAATTTTTGTTTAAAATCCATGTTGCGGATTTGAATGTCAAAATCAATCCTAAGACTATTCTTTTTTTTTTTTATTTAGAGGGATTCCTTTTATTATTTTATTTTTAATCCAGTTTGATGTAAGATTAGCTATTTTTTAAAACATATTTTCCTTAAAACAAAATTTTCCTTAAAAATCCATCATTTTTTATTTAAATTTCAAAATCTACACTAGTAACATCTCTTTTTGTAACAATATTTTGTAGGATTTCTTTTGTTATATTTATTTTAGGTAAGATTAACTACTTTTTAACTATTATGTAAAATCAAAATTTTTGTTAAAAATCCATCGTTGCGAATTCAAATGTCAAAATCAATCCTAAGACTGTTCTTTTTTTGAATTATTTAGAGGGATTCCTTTTATTATTTTATTCTTAAGCCAGTTTGATGTAAGATTAGCTATTTTTTTAAACATATTTTCCTTAAAACAAAATTTTCCTTAAAAATTCATCATTTTTTATTTAAATTTCAAAATCTACACTAGCAACATCTCTTTTTTAACAATATTTTATAGGATTTATTTTGTTATATTTATTTTAGGTGAGATTAGATTTTTTTGTAGTTAGTTGAGCTGAAAAAGCAAAAGGCTCAAATAAGGCTAGAAAAATCAGACCCATAAATTTTTCGTTTGCCATTCCTGGACCCACTTCGTTCATCAATAATTTCTACCCTGTTTTACTAATGTTTGAGAAGATTTGTATTTTTCTATCTTTTCTTTATGACATTCTTGACATGTTGAGGAGAAAGAAGTCTTTGAAAAAATTATTTTATTTTGAAATTGCAAACAATAATGTCTTCTTACAAGCATTGCTTTTTTTAAATGTTTATAACGAAATATTTTGTCATTCCTAGATCATTTTCGTTTCATCAATCATTTCTGCACTGTTTTAATAAATGTTTGAGAATTTTTTGTATTTTTCGATCTTTTCGTTAAGACGTTCTTGACATGTGGAACTTGGTTGAGGAGAAAGAAGACTTGGCAAAACCAATTTTATTTTGAAATTGCGGAGAAAAAGTCTTCTTAGATTCATTGTTTTTTAAAGCATTTGTAACAAAATGTTTTGCAGTTGGTTCATCATAGTATTCTTGATATATTGTGCATAGGCCTCAAGAGATTAGTTTTATCATTGAAAGCTTGGCAGCTTTTGTGTTTTAATCCGTTTTTGACCTCGTTTTTTTTCCCGTCGATTCTATTTAAATAGGAGGATTTAAAAAATTAAGACAGTCTAATTATGTCATACGCGATTTGTTTTTCAGTAACGTACTATTTTTTAATTGTAATTGATTTTTTAATTTTTTGAGCAGTTTGCATTTCGACATATTCTACTTTCCCTATTCAAGGCCCAATTAGTAGAAAGCAATTGGGAGGCGGGTAAATAAATTTAATTTTTCTTCGATCTGCGTAGAATTCGGTCTTTTTGTAAAGCCACGTTTTTCTTTGGAAAATGGAGTTTCTTTTTTAAGGAAAATTGTACAACAATGGCTGGATAATACGAATTTCGGGAAGTAGAATGTCGTGTGTGATCGAATTTTGTGAAAAGTCAAATCTATAAAAAATGAAACCTTAAGAACATGGTTTGATGTCTTTTCATTGTTGACTGAAGTCTCGAGGGAATTTTGTGCATAATCGCTGGTTCCCTCAGAACAAAACATACAGCCAAATTATTCTGAAAAGAATGAAAGGAAATATTTTCCCCTTTCTTCTTTTTTTCTTTCTTTATTTTTTTTATTAGAAGATTATTTTCCGGATGTTAAAATTGTGTAACTTTTAAATCTGTTCAACTGCGTCGCAGTGTCAACGATTTAGCATTCGGTTAAATGCCCGTGGAGAAGAATAGAGTGGAAAAAAGGAAGTAAGAGTTAACATATCTTTCTGCCTTTTCACCCGGAAGTTCCGACAGGATTGATAGAGATGATGCGCATGGGTATCGCTAGTGACCGCTGCAAATTCAAATACCATTGACGCAGACTTCCGCCGTACGCGACTCCTGCTTTCATATCGCACATGTGCGGCAGATAGTCGCGTAATCATAAAAATCAAGCATTCAGGGTTGCGTAAGAATTTTCCTCTCAGCCTCAAGCTGACAAGTTTACTTCCACTTTAACATTTATACAACAAAAATATTCGAGAAATTTTTTTTAAATATGCAATAATAATTTAACTTACGATTAGTTGTACAGATAATCCAAATTTAGTAATCCCATTTTAAACAAGGCACTTGGTCAACACAGATGTACATCACTGAAACTGAAAGTGAACGAGAGAGAAAAAGAGGCCGAAGCAAGTGAGACAGGAGGTAAGGTCTAACTAAAATTATCCCTTTCCTTTTCCTTTCCACTCTTTCTCCCTCCTGATAGTCGCCGTCCCACTCCCATCCACTAGCTCCCTCCCATTCTCCCGTCCTTCCACCCCCCCACCGGCTATCACCTCTCACTGCCAATGTTCTTATTCTTAATCCTTTTTTCCCCTCTCGTCGGGGGTCCAGTCATTCTTTTCGCTGGCCAGCTTTGCTTTTCAAGGTCCGGCCCATTAGGCCGCATTAGCCGTCCTTGGACGCCTCTCGTTGTCTCCCGGCTACCATCGTAGATAAAAGGACTCCGCCGTTCTCTTATGATCCAATCATCTGTATCACTTTCTCCCAAATGAAATCTATAAAATTTTTTTTTTACTTATACGAAAGAAGAAGTCTTCCAAAAAGCTTCTTCCTTTCTTACAGTACACTTACTATACCTTACAAAAGCTTCCATTACTTTGGCACACTTTTCAGTAAGGGTTGAAATTGTTAGTACTTCAACCAAAAAATATTTCCAACTCGAACAACACATTTATCTACAACATGCATTGTTCCTTTTATTCCATTTTATACTAATGTTGGATATATTGCAGTATACAAGGTGTCTGTTCGATAGCAGGTTTAACCTATTGTACAGATAAAAAACAGTGACCAATGGTAACCCCCACATTTTAAATAGAAACACAAATTTTTTAATTTATTTGCTACATGTTTAATTACTTATCCGTGATTGTTGTCTATTCTATAAAAGGTTACTGACCTTCTAGCGTTGTTTTATTGTTTAAATATGGCAAATGGTGAACATTTCTTCTTGGACTTTCCCTTTAGTAAATTAATCTTTAAGTAAGGTCTTGGTTGAGATAAAAAAGTCAGTGTCACGAGCGGGATTCGAACCCACAACCTTCGGCTAAATACGCCGCTGCTCTACCACTTGAGCTATCGTGACACCAACTTCCCATCTCAACTCCACCTTTCGAATCTTCCCTCCTTTTGCCACTTTTTCATTTTTACCATTTAACAAGTAACTTCACTAACAGCTCCCCGTGGCCACATCATATGTCGCCGAGAATCGAGTCCTGATTACACGACATTGAAAAATGGCCAAAAAGAGGGAAAATTCGAAAGGTTGAAGGTTGAAATGGGGAGTTGGTGTCCGAGTGGATCGAAGTCACGATAGCTCAAGTGGTAGAGCAGCGGCGTATTTAGCCGAAGGTCGTGGGTTCGAATCCCGCTCGTGAAGCTGACGTTTTTATCACAACGTATACCTTACTTAAAGATTAATTAATTGAAATGAATTTATTTGGTCAATCGGACCACGAAACCTAATCAATTTTTCTTTAGTGTTCTTTGTTTTTAATACGCCTACATCCCGCACAGGTGCCCCTTATGCAGAGAAAGGCTGCTCGATGTGTCCCACATAATAGAGGCGTGTCATGTCTTGGCTCCGTACAGAGAGCGTGTAGGCATGCCGCCGGATTTAAGAAGAGTTCTCGAACACGGTAGCGTAGAGTCCCCTGTTCCGCTTTTTAGGGGAAATTGTGGTTTTTTATTGTATATAATATGCCTTATGTGTAATGTTTTGTCTGTGTGGATGTATTTATTAGCGTGAATGGCGAGGGGTGAGGGTGAAATATAACGTCATCGCCCCTCAAACGTTGAGAGCATAAGAGTGTGTGTTCGGAGTTGATGGCGGAATATTTATAAAAGTACTCCATCGTCTCCAATCTAGATTAGCTTGAGTATAGGTCGGTGGACAAATATCAAGTACTCCACCGACCAAACGGAATGAGTGTACTGAATGGATGTATTTATGTGTATGAATGTATTTATTTGTATGAATGTAGTGTTTGAAATGGTAAATAGAATATAAACTTAGTTGGGGGCTGAAATGACCTAGATGTCGGAAGCCCCAGTCAAAAAAATAATACGCCTAAATATAACTTAATCGACATTTAAAACTACTTTACAGCAAACGTCTTTGCTATAAACTATACAGAAAATCAACTTTTCACCGTTGCTTTGACAGATAACACAGAAACATGCTGACTCTGACAAGAGGACCGAAAGAAAGTGTGTAAATTTTTCACATTTCAGCTGGACTGGGCACTTATGTCGATGTACATAATTATGTTCAAGATTAGCTTCTACTTGTTACATGTCACATAAATTAAATGATCTAGTGGACTTTTTCAGGTTATTGTCAACTATAGCGTAGGTTCTGGGGAGGAGAAATGGATTAAATAAAAACGTTACAATTCAAAAAAACAGTGCTACAAATTTTTATTAAAATAGTGAACTTCTATTTATCTAATTAGATGTAATGACATGACAGTACCTGCTTTGCAAACAAATATTTTTAAAGACGTATCTGAAATGTTTAGCATATAGACATAGCTGAAATATCAGAAATAATAAAAATGTAATCATTACGGTTTGCTAGAAGTCGAAGATACAAAAGTTCAGATGAATAAACAATTAAAATTACAATCATTAAAAAAAATTAAAGAAAAAAGCTTATAGTTTTATGTGTATTTTTATTCACTAGAGAACAAAATTATCCTAAAACCTGGTGAAACGTAATAGCAATGTTTTTAGCAGTAAAATTTATTACTTCAAAGTAGATATATCTATTATAGGTTAGATAGTAAAGATTTTCACACATATCCAAAGAATTATCAGAATATATTCAATCTTGCTGTTTTTATATAGTAGTATATTATAGTAGTTCCTGAATGTTTTTTTTCCATGTACCGACCATTTTGGCTGCCTATACTTGCTGGGTTGGACTGTCAGATGCGTCTTTGTTATCTATTGCAGCGGCTAAATTAAAAAAAAAAAAAAAAATGAAGGTTGCGAGTTTTGTTCATTACACTGTTAGGGATTTAAGTTGGTCTCTATGGGCCGCCATTTTTGAATTTTTTTATTATGGTATTTGAATTACAAGGTTATACGACTTAAAACTCAAAATATTAAAATTTATCTTGCTTATTATTTGTCCTATGCTATTCATACGTTTTCGTCTGTTCAGATCTAAATTTGATAAATAGATGTGGATCGTTTTATATTCGTACATTTAACAAACTTGTAAACATAGGATTTTTATCAAATGGATGGAATAATTAAACTTTTAAGAAAGTCCAATTTACCATTGATTCTTTCTCCAAATAATTACAGGAAGTATACAACTTGAATACGGTAGTGCCACGGAATCGTCAAAATTCCAGATATTGCAATAATTATAAATCCCAAATCCAGAATAGATATGTTAACGTTTTTAGAAAGCTTTAAAAAATCAGCAGTGGTAATTAAAAATAAACCGACACGCTTTATTTATAATAATTCGCGGATTTAATTGTCTTACTTACAACGATTACTTGTATCATATAACACAGATATGTGAGAGTATGGATTTTTAAAAATTAATCCAAGAAAGATTTATAATTTGTAGAACTAGGCTTGGTAGCACCATGAATTGATTTATTAAAAAATTCCCTGCTTTGCAAGCCCCCATGGATTCTTGGCAATGTAAATCCTCCAAAAATAGACAATTTATATAACAAGGGCATGGGTGAGATAATGAAGTTTGAGTTTATTTATTCGATACTTTTACTTTTACATACATTTTGTACAAAGTGACTACAAGGGGAAATGTCTAAGACATTATATTGGGTTGTCCGGAAAATAATGCAGGATTTTAAGTTTTCATTAAAAAAAATCTATATAAAATATTCTGTTTACGTTTACAGGATTACTCATTTGTATGAATGTCAACACTTATTAATCCTCTTCCAAATGATATTGTTTGTTTACCTCTGTAGCATTCCGCTACTTG